GGGAGAGGAGGGGGAGAGAGAGAGAGAAGAGAGAGAGAGAGAGAGAGAGAGAGAGAGAGAGAGAGAGAGAGAATGAACGAACGAATTCTGGGAACATTCCGGAGACCTTATAAAATATATCACTTAAAAAACACCTGCATGATCAGGGAAGGTGGATGCTGACTGAAAGCATCAGTAGTTGGTATGCAGATGGGCATACTTTGAGAGCTATGTAGGAAACACAACAGTCAGGATTTAAAGCCATCTCAAGAGGGATGAAGACGAAATCAAAACTGACACCAAGGTTCCGGGCTTAGATAACTGCAGATGATGAAGCCAAGTAAGGAGGGAAACCATTTTTTGAAAAGGCAGTAAGTTCTGTTGGGTTATAAGGTGCATGAACAACAAAGCCAAAATAAATAAAAATAAATTGTGCTAAATGAACTCTGAATTCCTCAAGAGTCTCCAATTCTAAAAGAGTAAAGATTATCTGAGGATTTAATCATCTTTTTAAATTAAATTCTATCATCTTCAGTATACAAATTAACTACACCAGAGAGTGGAAACTAAGTTAATTAACGTTCTCTGTCCAACTTTGCTATCTATAACAGATTCTTCTCAGAACTTAAACTGAACATTTATCCTCAATATTTAACATTGAGATAAAGTTTTTATGTAAAAATGGCCAAAGTATACCTCAATTTACACAAAACAATGTGACCCAAACCTATATCAGAGGTTTCAACAGAAAGGAGAAACTGAGACTATCTTATTTTCATGGAAATGAAGCCTAACATGTAAAGTCATTTCTAGTTTGAGAAAAGCTTTAGACATTCCCAGTGGATAAAGCCTTTTCTTGACTTCATTGACCCTATGAACTATCTCCCCATTCCTTTTCTGTCTTTTGGCAGCAGAATTCCTTGCAAAAGTCTCGCTGCCACTGCCGCCACCGCGGCTGCCTCCTCCTCCTCCTCCTTCCCTCTCCCCCTCCTCTTCCTTCCCTCTCCCACTCCCTCTCCTCATCCCCCCCCCCTTTTCTTTTATGTCTTTTTGAGACAGGGTCTCCCTGTAGCCCCAGCTGGCCTGGAACTCATATTGTAGACCTCGCTAGCCTTTAACTCAGAGATCTGCCTCTGCCTCCCAAGTGCTGGGATAATCTCCTCGGATCATTTTCTTCTTTTATATGTTCTTTAAATTCATTTAATCTTGCTTTTGGCCCAGTTGCTGCTCCAAAACTACTCTTAATAACTACAAAATGGAAATGTAAACGTACCTCTTCAGTGCTCTTCATTTATCAGCATCACCAAACACAAATGCTCACACTCCTAAGACTACTTGGTTCCCCTAGTTTCCAGGAAACTGCACTCTTCATTTTCTTCCTGTCTCCTGTGCTGCTTTCTCCTCTTTTCCTAACTCTTTAATGTTGACTGCCTCAGGTACCAGACCTTGGTTGCTCACATAATTATAACTCATTACTTTAGGTGGACTCTATCTGCCAAGAAATCTTACTGATTTTACTTTCAAAATCTATTCTGAGGTGTTGGGAGATGGCTCAGTTGGTAAAGTGCTTGCTGTGCAAGTCTGAGGACCTGAATTCAGATCCTCGGCACTCATAGGAAAGCCAGGTGAAATAGTATTCATCTGTTCCCCCCCGCCCCCTCAGCACTGCAGTAGAAGAAACAAGTGGGATTCCTAGAGCCTGTTGCACAGCTTGTCTAGACAAACCAGTGAGTTCACGGTTCAGTGAGAGATCTTGCCTCACAAAATAAGGTAGAGGGCTAGGGAAATGGCTCCATGGGTTGTCTTTGCTGTGCAAGCATAAGGACCCGAGTTCATTTCTCAGTACCTGGAACCCCAGTGCTGGGTGGTGAAGACAGGTGGATCCCTGGGACTTGCTGGACAATCTATGTAGCCAAATCAGTGAGCTCCAAGTTCAGAAAGGGACCCTGCCTTAAATTTTAAAAAAGGTGTAGAGTGACTAAAGAAGACACCTGATGTCAAATCTGTGACACGAACACTTACACATGCACACACACATTTACAGACACGTCAACTCACATACAGAGAGAGAGAGAGAGAGAGAGAGAGAGAGAGAGAGAGAGAACACTCTTTTCAACCCTGGGCAGAGCCATAAGCAACTATTTCAACTATCCTGATCTCGCTGTTTCCACCCCTTCTCATTACAATCTACTCTAACACAGCTGTGTGTCACAGTGACGCTTTTAAAATACTGAATCGAGTGCAGTCATTTGTCTGCTGAAATCTTGATGAGTGACTCCTGAAAATTATTTGCGGTAACAGCCGAAGTCTTTAAAATGGCTGCCAAATCTGTGCCTTCCACCTCCTCCCCTCTACCTTCCTCACTGCATCTCCTGCTAGTCCTCCTCTTTGCTCCTCTCTCCCTCCTGCTCTCTGCTCTCTAACCATACTGGCCTCTCCCTTTATCATACCAAGAACACTGCTGTCTCACGGCTTCTCTATTTGCTCCTCTCTAACTCTTGGTAGTCCACTTTTCCCCACATATACATGACTGTACTTTCAAGTCTTTATCCAAATGGCAGTTAGGTTTTCTTTGACCATGTCTATTTTAAACTATAACCAAGTCTTCCACTTCCCATCCCTCCACTCTTTCATACAAAGACGCAGGAAAATATAAGCAAAACTGAGGAGAATCAGTAGTCAACCAAAACTAATCCAAATGTGACACAGAGATGCTGGAATTAAAAGGCATGCATATTAAAAGATTTTATTAATGTATTCTAAGTTTTCAAAGAGTTAACTAAAGACATGGAAGGCATTTTTTAAAAGGTCCCAGTGAAGTTCTAACTTACACAATTTCTAAGGTAAAAAAATATACTGGACTGGAATAACAGCAGATAAGACACTGCAGAAGACTAGTGCATCTGAAGACACAGAAATAGTAACTTCCCAAAATGAAACAGAGAGAAAAAGCAATTTTTTTTTTTTTAAATGGAAAAGAGCATCCACTGAGCTGTGGGATAAGTTTCCAACAGCTTAAAATACACTTGTCTGGAGGTAGAGCGAGAGAAATCAGATGAGAAATTAATGTTTGAGGAGTTTCTAAAGTTGGTGAAAACACAGCACTTCCAAATCTAATCTCTGTGAACAAACCAAAGAATCTTGAGTAAAAACACACAAAAGGACATTATAATCTAATTATTAAAACCAGTGAAAATTGCCCTGGTCTTTTTCCTCTGTCTTCCATACCAGACAAAGATAAAACAAAGACTATTTTGGACATACAAAAGCTGGAAGAAGAAAAGAAAAGAAAAGAAAAGAAAAGAGAGAAAGAACAGAGAAAAAGAATAAAAAGAAAGAATCTCTGCAAAAGATGACTTACTACAAAAACAGTATCATAAACTAGGTTCAAGTACAATATGACAAGAACATAAAGGAAAGGCAGGCAAATAGAAGTGTGTTAGTCTAAGGTTCTTATACTACAGGTGAGTGGCAAATAATATTTAAAGATAGATTGCGGAAATCAAAGACTTGATGTCCATAGCAACTTATGTATAAAAGCCCCAAACTGAAACCAGCCAAATGCCTGAAATCAATCCACTTGGCCTGAGGTCTCACCAATATGGTAAGTACCTAATTAAGGCCTAAGACGCCAAGTACTGGAAGGTCACTAAATCTCCAACACCTAAGCCACAGCAGGACTCAATAAACAGAAAAGTAAAAAGGGAAACAGAAAAACTCTCTTGTAATATGACTGGAAATTACTCCTTATCTTTTGTATCTAGTCTCTAACACAATGAGAAAATTAAGTAGTCTTTCAGTATCATATATGTAAGAAAATAAATTATATTCCATTTTTTTAGCTTTCCTAGTATTTTATTACAATCTAATACTTAAAATGCCTCACTTATTATACCAGTTTTTACAGAGAAAAATTAATTAGAAATACTCCATTCATGCAGGCTAGTGACATTCTCGAGCTAAGAAAAGAAAAAGAAAAAAACTTACCGAAAATTTCTCCATTTTTGGCATATTCTGTCACAAGGTACAACATACTTTTGGTCTCCATTACCTATTGGTAAATGTTTCTGCATTAGTCTGGCAGGAAGGATTATATTTGACCACATTCTATAGCATTATGTAAATTACAACTATGGTTAAAGATTCAGTTGTGAACAATTTGGAACCCAGGCCTTACAAGTCTCATCATATCCTCACCCTACTATTTTTATGAATATCAGATCTTGGTCTTCTAAGTGTGGTCCACAGCCCAGCTGAAGTAGCATTGCCTAGATACCTGTTAGAAATACATGCTCAGGCCTGGCTCCAGGACTTCTCAATTAGAATTTACACTCTAATTAATATACATACATTCAAGTATGAAAGGCACCAATATAAGTAAAAGAACTTCTGAAGATCAACTTCTTCAACTTGAAGTTTTAACTACTGTATTAAAAGCTACCCTGAATAAGAAACAATTAAAATCCAGCTGGGCATGGTGGCACAAGCCTTTGATCCCAGCACCTGGGAGGCAGAGGCAGAGGCAGAGGCAGAGGCAGAGGCAGAGGCAGAGGCAGAGGCTGGTGGATCTGTGAGATCCAGGTCAGCCTGGTCTAAAAAGAGAGTTCCAAGGCCAGCTGGGGCTACAGGGAGACCCTTTCTCAAAAAGAAAGAAATGAATAAAACAGAAAAATTGAGCTTACCTGGCTTATAGCCCAGCTAATCTAGCACAGTGTTAACACTGTTCTCCTTTATGCTCTAATATTATTACAAGACACTATCATTTTACAACACTGTCTGAAAGCTGCTTCTTCATAGTTCTACTGTAAAATGGTTTTATTTAAATTAGATTCTCTAGCCGGGCGTGGTGGCGCACACCTTTTATCCCAGCACTCTGGAGGCAGAGACAGGAGGATCTCTGTGAGTTCGAGGCCAGCCTGGCCTACATAGTGAGTTCCAGGACAGCTGGGGCTATAGGGAGACCCTGTCTCAAAATGACCAAAGAAAAAAAAAAAGCTCCTCTTAGGTTTAGAAAGGAAGTATGTCATTGTCACCAATTTGATTTTTCTAATTACACTGAACTACTGAGATTCAAGATAAGTAATTTTCAGACTGCTTTTCTGTATACTATTGTGTGTGTGTGTGTATGTATGTATATGTATACATGTGTACATATGTGTAGGCTAGCGGTCAACCTCACATGCTGTTCCTCAGGTGGCATCCATTTTGTTTTCTGAGACAGAGTTTCTCATTGGCCTAGAGCTTGCTGTAGGTCAGGCTGGCCAGCCAGCCCAGAGATCTGCCTATTTCTACCTTCCTAGGACTGGGATACAGTGGGCGCCACCATGCCTGGCATTTGTATGTGGGTTCAGGGGGGTTGAACTCTGCTTATCATGCTTGCATGGCAAACACTTTTATCAGCTGAGCTCTGTCTCTAGTCCTGTAATGCTCTTTTAATAGTTATGTACTAAAAGGTTGAAAACTAATTTTGTACTTGGAATACAGGTTTTGGACTATTGCCCATGAAGGAAAAAAAATGAAGAGCTATTGACAAAATGGAACTAAATAATCAAACAGTAACTCAACTTTAATGAGTTAAGTAGTAGTACAAACACAGTTACCACATGAATCGTAAGTCAGTTTACCTTACAGTTCACCAGATACTTCTAAGAATATGATTATTTAAATATCTTTTTTAGGAATTAAAAAAAAGCTTATAGGGGGGTGGGAATCTGATTAATATAAATTTGACTTAAGAGATTGCTATAATTTTAGAATTTTAGGAAATGTTTTGAATGGGACAATATGGCATGCTTTGGATATACATTATAAACCAATGATCTCCAACTTTTTAATTAGAATTTTCAATCAATAAACATTGTTTAGCAAATATATACAGATATATACAAAAATATGCATAAACATGCATTATATATATATATATAACACACAGAAAGCAAATTATATGTGTGTGCCACTGTATAAATGCACTCAAGAGGACATAAAAACATAACTAGAAGTTTTAATATTGTCTTCTTATATACCCAAGAACATCTGTACTAGCAGTCTAAAGACAAGTTAAGACACTAGGTACCTTCCTATTTCTACCTTTACAAATTTAAATATATAAGATGGGTAAACTTAGCTTAATAAAAGTATTTTTCTTCTATAGATTAGAAAAACATAAAAATAAAAACCACAATGAAAATAGAGAGCTGAATGTGGAATGCCAACAAGAATAAGGTTAGGCCATACCTGATAAAGTTTGATTATATGAGGGTGGTCTAACATTTTCATTATTTGTACTTCTCGGTAGATTTTCTCAAGGTTTACTGCATCCAGTTGAGATTTATCTATTATTTTTATCGCCACCTGCATCTCAGAATACAAATAAATACAATCAGTATATAATAGTTAACATCTTCCAGTTCAGAGTTAATAATTGATATTTGATACTTTGCTTGTAGGATTCTATGACAGTGAGCGCTAGCTGAAATTCAATGTCCACTTGTTCATTTATGCAATAAATATTTCTTAAACTTCTACCATATATAAGGCTCTGTGGTAGATTTTGTTTGGCAGTGTCTTTAGTGTGCTGTGGAAAATAACTCTTCAAAGTTACCTTGATAAAACATGTTTTACTTTCTGTACAACTTTAATGCCTTTGTAAATTGATGTAAATTGAATATATAGACTATAAACCGAAAAAAATAGTCTTCAACCAGTTATTTCTAAATTACCTACAGAGTAAGACTCTGCCAAGTAGAAGGCAGTTCAGACAGCAATTTCTATGGTGCTGAAACACTACTTTTCTAAAAAAGTGATAGGTTCAAAAAATATATACTTTCCTTTAAAGAAAAAAATCTGAATATAAGATATTAAAACTAATCTATGTGAAATATTATCAACTGGTTTAAATTCATTTAGAAAATGAAAATTCAGGGGCTGGAGAGATGGCTCAGCAGTTAAGAACACTAGTTATTCTTGCAGAAGACCCGGGTTCGTATCCCAGCACCCACATAGCAGCTAACAACTGTCTGTAACTCCAGTCCCAGGGGATCTGACAGCCTCTTCTGATCTCCGCGGGCATTGCACAACATGGGTGTACTTATCTACATGCAGGCAATACATGCACGCATATAAAATAAAAATAATAAATAAAAATGTAAAGAATGCTTTAAAAAATGAAAATTAAAAAATTCAAGTGTTAATAATTACATTAATTTTAACTTTCTAAAAGGAGTTTGATTTCAGAAAAATATGGTCTGATTCTGTCAGAACTAAATAGGAACCTAAATCCCAGGTTAATAATTTGAGGGAATTTGAAGGTAAATGACTGGGTATTCAAAAACAATAATCACATAATTTTTTTTTATGTAACTGAAAGGACTGATTTTTTTAAAAATTCATAGATGGCCGGGTGTGGTGGCACATGCTTTTAATCCCAGCACTCTGGAGGCAGAGGCAGGTGGATGCCTGTGAGTTCAAGGCCAGCCTGGTCTACATAGTGAGTTCCAGGACAGCTGGGGCTACAGGGAGACCCTGTCTCAAAACAAACCAACAAAAAAATTCATAGATGATTGGAAATAAGGCTATTTTATTAAACAGAATTGCAGATAATTGGGAACTTCCACATTTAATTCTATTAAGTTCTAAAACTCTAAAAATGTACTTTATAGTTCTATCAAAAAGCATTCCAAGGGCTGGAGAGATGGCTCAGAGGTTAAGAACACTGGTTGTTCTTGCAGAAGACCCGGATCGAAACCCAGCACCCACATGGCAGCTAACAAGTGTCCGTAACTCCAGTCCCAGGGGATCCAACAACCTCTTCTGACCTCCGCGGGCATTACATGACACGGGTGCACTTACCTACATGTAGACAATATGCACATACACATAAAATTAAAAAAATTTTTAAAAAAGCATTCCAAATATCACTTAGCCTAAGTTGTTTCAGGGTAACTTTTACAGCATGTGTCTTAATGGTTCAACATTCTCAAAAGGTATGCAAGAAAAGAGAGCTCTGCTTGTCATTCAAGTCCCTTGGTTTCCCACTCACATAAATTTTATATTTATATATACATAGTGTGCATGTATTGCCTACATGTAGGTAAAGTGTAACCATGTCATACAATGCCCGCAGAGGACAGAAGAGGCTGTCGGATCCCCAGGAACTGGAGTTATGGACAGTTATTAGCTGCCATTTGGGTGCTGGGATTCGAACCCGGTCTTCTGCAAGAGCAGTCAGTGTTCTTAACTGCTGAGCCATCTCTCCAGCCCTC